AAAGGAAAGGAAAGGAAAGGAAAGGAAAGGAAAGGAAAGGAAAGGAAAGGAAAGGAAAGAAAATGTACAGATATGAATCAACCAAGGACTACCCATGGAGAAGACCTTGACACCCTACTCAGATGTAGCCCATTGGCAGCTCAGTCTCTAGGGGGGTTCCCTAGAAGGGAAGCAGGGGCAGTTACTGGCAGAATCCCCATTGCCTGCTCTTTGATCACCTCCCCCTGGCAAAGTGGCCTTATTAAGCCACAAAAAAAGAGGTTCCAGACAGTCCTAAAGAGAACTGATAGGCAAGGATCAGATAGTAGGGGAGAAGGATGTGCCCTATCAGTAAACTAGGGGAGGGACATTGGGGGGAACATAAAGGGAGGGTGGGACCAGGAGGACATAAGGGAGGGGGCTACAGCTGGGATACAAAGTGAATAAATTGTAATAATAATAACAATGAAAACAAATTTTAAAAAATTAATAAGAAAAAAAAGGAAAGAAAATGAGCATTCAGTCACAGAAGCAGCACAGGGGACAAGCCCATGTGAGACACAGGCAAAGGCTAAAGCGAGACTGCTTCCACAAGCCAAAGAGACAGTGGACTGTGTGGACCACCAGAAACAAGACGGGAGGAAGGGTTCCTTCCTAGAGCTTCAGAGGGAACACTGCCTTGCTGATACCTTAATTTTAGACTTCTAGTCCTCTCCACTGTCACAGAATAAATTTCTGTTGATAAGTTACTAAAAAAAAGAAAAAAAGAAAAAAGAAAAAATACAGATATTTTGATGTATGATTCAGTCTCTCAAGTAAAAGAAATAAAAGCTTGACCTCATAGCAGAAGCTTTCTAATTTCCTTGCAGCATAAAGACAATGGAAATAGCAACGGTGACACACTCTCCTTCAGTTAGCTTAGCTCTGAAGAGGATAATGATCAAGATAATTCTATGCAGAACCACATTTCTGAGGAGAAAAATGTGAAAGGAGACAAAGATAGCCTTTAATTGGTGGTACTTACTTTTGTTCCAATGGTTCTCAGAAACCTACTTTGTGTACATTTGGCTTCTATACTTTGAATGAACCTGAAACCTCTGCATGCAACCACAGCATGCAAGCTACAATAAAATAGGAATGTATTCAGATACTGGGCAAATACCATAGCTGTATAAACTTTTATAAAAGATTAGGTATATAAAATCAAACTAGCTACCTCATCAGAAGCCAGAACACAGATGTGGCTACTGAGCGTTTGCTGATTTAGTGACCATGAACTACACCAGGCTATTAAAGATTCTGAAAAAAGGACACCAAGAAAAACAATGTCAATCTAGAATGACAGCAACACAATAACAAGAAAAAACAGAAACCCTTGTGATACACCCATCAGTGGAGAGAGCTGAGTCAACAGAATATCAGCAGGCTGTTAGGATAGCCCTAATAATCTTTATACAGAGTGTGCAAAATGATTTTTCATACTTTCAAATTTATTAATGAAGTGATAAATCAATAAAAATCCTGCTCAGGTTTAGTGACCTTTAAAAATATAATATATAAAAGATTATTCCTTCAAAGTTCGATTTAACGCTTAACATTATTATGTATTGGAATAGGAGAAAAAAAAAAGACGTCAAGATGATCAGCTCACTGAACAACTAAAAACACAACAGGGTAACTGAAAAGCAAAATCTATCTTCAACAATGATGAGGAATGTAACCTTGAGCAACTTACTCAGCCACTCTGTGCTTCTAGGAGCTGATCTCAGAGTATGTGTTTTTTTCTTCTAAAATGCTGCTATAAATATGATGTAAGTATTCATTAAAAACAGCAACAGAATGTACCTTATGCAAATTATACACTTAAACTAGTGTAACCACAAGAATACAGAAGTGTTTTTGCCTTAATTAAGCAGGTTTAAGGAACTGATAATAATCGGGCTGCCTTGTCTAACTACTGAACTTGAGAATCAAAGAGAATGGTAGGTTTAAAAAATAAAAAAGAAACAGCAATTCTGGGACTTTGTGAGACTGAAATGTAATATGTAAAGCCTGAGCCAGCCTTAGGGTGAAAGGAGTTCAAATCAACTCTTCTCCTTGGCTCTCTACCCTGAACAACTGGAATACTGTGGGCTCAGTAGAAGGCACTATAAAAGGAAATGCCCAGAATAAAAATTTTTGTGGCAAAGGTGTCAAACAAGACTTAGGAAGAGAACAATTTCAAGCTCTTAGGATCTAACATATATAAAGAACTTCTTTCTCACCTGTGTAGGGAAGATTGCCCAGGTTCAACAGAAAACTTTGTTACATGACCAAAATGTATATGACAGTATCCACTTGACTCTCAATAGTAAAAATAAATTTCCAACAAATAGTGAGTTTTTCCTCATCTAATTTCTTTTTTCTGCTTTTTCTATCTATCTATCTATCTATCTATCTATCTATCTATCTATCGATCTATCGATCTATCGATCTATCGATCTATCGATCTATCGATCTTATTATGTATGCGGTATTCTGCCTGCATGCCAGAAGAGGGCACCAGATTTCATTATAGATGGTTATGAGCCACGATGTGTTTACTGGGAATTGCACTCAGGACCTCTAGAAGAGCAGCCAGCAGAAGTGTTCTTAACCTCTGAGCCATCTCTCCAGCCCTTGACATGTACTTTCAACCACAAACATATAATAATACAGAAAGGATAATGCCTAAAATTTAAACAGTATTTCAAAATTTCATGTCAGTAACTTTCTGGCCACTAATTATCTGCCTAACATGTAGGAGAATCTCAGGTCATTCACCAGTAACACATAATCTAGATGCAGTGCTACCTGCCTAGAATCCCAGATTTTGAGGAGTATGGAGGATCAGAAGTTCAAGGTCATCCTTAACCAAAACAACAACCCAATGGAATAACATATTGTTATTTTCCAGTTATGCATATGGTGTTTGTGAACTTAGTTTTTAAATTCAAGGAATTGTCTTTCAGAGTGATTATAAATGTAACAAATGACTCACACAATAAAACAAATCAAAGTCTATTAATATCTGTCCTTATGAAATCCAATTGAAACAAATTTCAGTTGAAAAAAATTAAAAGCTGGCTTAGAGTCTATACTTCATAATGCAATCCTGGCTGCTCCCACCAATATTATTCTTGAAGGTTATCAGCTAATCACGTGTACTTAGTTAAATTAGATCAACACGAAGAACAAAAATGTTTTCTGAACTGTGTATCATATAGGAAAATGGGCTTTTAGACTATAATATTTAAACAGAAAAGAGAACCGCATATTAATTTCTAAATGCTAAGTTCCTAACAAAGCTGCTTTATGTAAGTTGTCCTTTGAGGACTAGAGCACATATTAATCATAGTAAAATGGAGGAAACAGTCTCTGTTTCAGTCTTCTAAAAACTAAACCAAGTTGTCACCAT